CATCACCACCATCACCACCTTCACCACCAACACCACCACCACCGCCAACACCACCATCATTATTCACAGGGGTACTGGGCTTCTACCACATGGCGCCACATGAGGCCTGGAGATATTCCTAAAGCCAGGGACCTAAAAATGCTCTGAGCAATGAGAACATCTTTGCTCCTGTTGCAAGGATAAGTTTGGGACAGCATAATATAAACTCTAACCAATCATTAGAGGATCCATTCTCAGCCAATCTTGAAAGCAGGGAAGAAAATAATGTGTTGCCCCTAGAGCCAAACAGCTCTGCTCTGGTTGGCAGTGTATCAACCTCACCACTTCATTCCTTATCCGAGTTGGGAAGACTGTCCCTGTCACAGAGTGTGGGGCAGTGGGGGAATGCATGGAGAGGGAAAGGGTGACTAGTGGGAAGGGCAGCGTCAAGCTTCAAGTCTCTGACATACTTGGTGGCAAAGAGAGCAGGTGCATATTATCACTGCGTCTAACACCAGACCCTCACTCAGAGCTTCTGCTCATAAGACTTTCAAATGACGAATTCTTGTAATTGGGGGTGATCGCTGATGAAAATGCAGAGGCAGTGGCTTATTCCCAGATCCTTACAGACCCCAGATACAGCGGCAGAGTGAGTCTGTCTGTCTTCCCTTCCTCCTGTGCCAGGACTCATGCTTACAGGTGAATCTGGCCAAAACATACTGAAAGCCTACAGAATGTCACATCTTTTGACCTAGAGGCCCCACCCCTGGGACTTTATCCCAAGGATATCATGGATCCTCAAAAAAGTTGCTTATCAGAGTTGTTTATACATAGAGTGAAAAATCAAGAACAGGCTTTGTGCTAATCGTACACAAGGGGTGGTTGGGTCAGTTACACCCCATGGAGCAGATGGGGTCACGCGGCCACCAGAGCCAAGAGAGGAGGAAATTGTGTCTGTGGCATGAAATGGTGTTTGTAATACACCAAGTGGGAAAAGGTCCATTATTGAGCCCAGTGGCATTCTTGTCAAAACAAAGTTTATACAGGCTTAGGGAAAAGACTAGAAGGAGACACAAATCCCTACCTGAACCCCACCTCCAGTTTTTAAAACAAGAAAGACTGACTGGCTTTTTAAAAAAGCTCCTCGACTGCCCAGAAGGCAGTGGGCTCCGGCCCCACCGGCCCACGAGACAACAGGCCAGCCCCACCGCCAGCCCGCAGTGGAGCGGTAAGAAGGTTAAGGACTCCAGGCCCAGTCTCCTCGGGGAGAGGCTGCTGAGCTGCTCCACGGGCAGGGGGCCTGGCTGAGCAGAGGTGGCCCCAGCAGCTGACGTCAACGAGGCTCCTCCCAGTGCACAGTCAACCCCAATCTATGGAATCCCAGTCGCTGCCGTGCGCCACGAGGGGGTGCAGACACTCTCCTAGCGTCGGACACACAAAGCACTCACCCCTGCAGGTCTGTAACCCACCCTGCCACGCCAGCTCTGGTGAGGACGTGGTGGAAAGGCCCAGGGCCCGATGTCCTGCCCTTAGCCTTGTGTGACCCTGGGCAAGTCCCTGCCCACCCCTCCTCCACCCCAGTCCTGGCTCCCCTTTGGTAAAAAGGTGGCCCCAGTAACGAAGCCTGAATTCAAGTGTTGCTGGGCGCTGTGCGACGTTGGCAAGTCTGCAGCACGCCCCTCCCCCCCCCTCCCCGCAAGCCTCCCTATCCTTGGCTGTAGAGCGGGGCCCTGGTTCCTGCTTCATAGGGTTGGCGGGAGATGGAGTGAGATGAGCCTGGTTGCAGTTGTTGAAGTAAAAATGAGCCTATTCCTTCTCCAGACAGGCGAGAGAGTCGGGTGTGCTGCGAAGCCCGAGGGGCCTCAGGCCACCCCCATGTCTACTCTCGACAGGATTTGCCTCTGTGACTGCTGCAAGAGCAGCAGAGACAGCAGAACTGTCACATCGGGAGGCCTTTCTCCGACATGGGGAGGATGAGCAGGTGTCTGGGGGAACCACCCGCCCAGGAGCCACCTCTTACCTGCTTTATCACGTGCTTGACTTTGTTTCCTGTTTCCTCCACCACCACGTTCACCCCCAAGGCCCCAGGACTCATCTGGCCCAAAATCTACCGGCAAGAGAAAGAGAAGCTTTCAGGAAATGCACACGGCTTTTCACTTTTCGAAGTATGCTCAGTGCCGGACACCTTTGCTGCCCCAACTTCTCCTGCAGGCTGGCAGAGTGAGTGTCTCCACTACATTTTGCAGAGAAAGAAATGCCCAGAAGGCTGAGGAACCTGAGCCCGTCTCTCTGGGGCCCCTTCTGGAGCTCTTTCCACCACCCTATACCACTTCTCCAATCTGCAGCACAGACCAGTGGGCATCCAAGAGCCAGCACCCCCCTGGGGCAGAGCTTTATTCACTCTCTCTAGCCACCTCCGAACTGGGCATCCAAACCAAAACACTAACTGGCCCATAATTGGGGCATAGTCACAGCCATGTGTGGCCTGGCCCTGTGCCAAGCACTTTACAGCCACCGTCTGTAAGCCGCTCTATTGCTATCTCCATGTTTACACTGGAGGAAACTGAGGCACAGGGAGCGAGCTCCTCGTGTCTGAGGCTAGAGTGCTAATAAGTGAAATGGCCCGGATTGGGCTGGAACGCCGGGGTCTGACTCGGGAGCCCGTGCTTTGAACCCAACCTGCAGAGAGGGCTGCCAGGTCAGAACTCCGTGTGGGGTGGCCAAGGCCATGGGGTGGGGCCAAAGCTGGGATTACATCTGTCAGGCGATGGAAGAGGACTGGCAAGACACAGAGGAGTGGGTATAGGAGATGGAACCCTGAATCTAGGGACTCTGAGTCCAGGCAGGTCTTGGATTCTGTAACCCAGCCCCTTTAATGGGTGGCCTGAATCCTGCTTAGGGAGTGTGGGGGACAACGTCCTGATCAGCTTACGCCAGTCTAAGAAGGCACATGCCTAGGCCCTCTTAAGTAGCAGGTTGAGCAGTAAAACACACTCGTATCTCAGGTGGAGTCTATTGTTTTTTTCCTGGGAAGGTAACTTTGCCCTTAAAACTCTCTGGCCCCCAGAAACTCCACTCCTTTACTACCGGCTGACTCCCCGGCTGTCCCCCCACACAAACGGAGTTCTCACAAAGTGAGAAAAACCTCATCTACAAATTGTTTTCAAATTAATGACACTTTTACAAAGATTGAATCTAACATTTAATAAAGTTGACATATTATGTATAGAAGCAGTTAACTGAGCATTCATTCATTTTTATTTTGCAGCTTTCCTTTTGTTTTGTGAATTTTTCAAGTCTTACACATTTTCACAAGCCCTGGAAAAGGCCCAAGTCCTCCTACCTGGGACTAGTGATGGCCTGTATGAGGAGTTTGGGGGGCTCCTGATTCTGAATTTTGGACGCTTTAAGGTGTCCTGTCTCCATGGGCCCAGGGAGAGGTGGAGGAGGGAGAGGTGGAGTTCTCTTCCATCAAGTATTCAGACAGACGGGGATGGACAGTCTTTCATCCATCATTTTAGAGGGGGGGGGGAACGGAGAGGCAAAGGGCACCCACGAGGTCACCTTTGGAGGTCCCCTAAGCGCTGGAGGCAGACCCTGGCCCGGGGTGGCACCTGGCCATCGGCGACCTCTCCAGGGGCTGTGACCGGTAAACCAGTAGGGGTTTGGGGAGGTGGCAGGAGGTCCAGGTTCCTGGCTCGCCCCAAACCGGCCGGTTCTCGTCGCCCCTGCCTCCCCGCCAGGGAACAACTTGGCACCTGGTACTTCTCCATAGTGTCTCCAGGGAAGACTCCCAGCCTCCTCTCCCTCCGCAGGGCGCTAGGGGTGCGCCCCTAGCCCTCGCCGGCGCGCGGACCCTCGGCTGAGCATACTCAGTAGAGACGGCGTCCGGGGGAGCACCCCACCCCCCACCCCGGGCGCGACCGTCAGCCCCAGGCGTGTCCGCCGGAACGGTGCGCTCCGGGGCTCCCGCGCGCACCACCAGCGGGATGGCCCTCGGGGCCTGGCGGCCTCAAAGCGCGCCAGGGGCGGGACCTG